GGGAAAAATTATGTATACATTTGAGCGATGGGTACGGCTGAATAACCCATCTTCAACATTTCTGGAGGAAGATCACTGAGCTGGCTCTGAAGCTCTGGAAGACAAAATGTTTGGATAAAAAGTGAGCATTTCACAAATGTCCAAACATAGTTTGGTACCAGCACAGCCTCATGACATACCTTCCTGCTTCTTCTTTACAGTATAATGTCTCACTGGTGGGGGAACAGCAAAGCTCCCTGCAACTGAGGAGAAAGAAGAACATTTTTAAATGTTCAGTAAAACTGAAAGAGAATAACAACTTGATCTGAACTCAGAGGAGGCCTAACTGTTAGTTGAAGAAAAGATGAATTTGTATCAAACACTGTGGTGTGAAATAATTTTGTAAGACATAGGAAAACATGACATTTGCCAAACATACACACACACACATATCACAAAGGTTACTACAGACCTAGATGAAGATGAAGATAATGTATCTGTGATGCTGTTGCAACAAAGCATGCCACAAGCTGGTTTGCATGTCATGACTTTCACAAAAAAGTCTCTTATATCCAATATACACAAAGACACAGAAGAAACAGAAAAGCAATTTAATGCAATATGGTCAATGATGGGTCTTAACCTTTTTGTACCATACAGTTTTAGCCAAATACTTCCATGGCTATATAACAGCTAAGACATAAGTAAATCATAGATGGAAATATGGTTCTCTCAACATGTTTACATATTCCAAGGTGATAATGCCACCTATCCACCCGAGTCTGTCCTGAATCTGAGATTTATCTGATCTCAAATTTGACAAAATTGCAAGTAGAAACAGAGCTGAATTAAAGGAAATGATGGTTTTGTATTCTTTTACAAGACAAGCTTATGTAGAAACAGATTTTCATAGTATACAGTAGTACATGACATGGTCTCCTAAAAAAGGCAGCAAGAGTTCTAACATAAAAAATATGTTTACTAGTCCCTGAAGTTGAGAATTAAATCATTGCAGATACAAAAGTGACAAGGCAGACCAAAGTTTGATGAGGCCCATGTTCTGGGACAGAGTTTTAGTTGCACGACTTGAAGAGCAAAAGCACGATACTCTGTTTAAGATGGCTGTCCCACACCCCAGATAAAACAACTATGCAGTATACACATATCACATAGTGAAAGAACAGTGGTTTTCTGTATCAGTGTCATCAAAATATTAATAGTTCTATTTCCTGTAAAACACTGGTGGCTGCTCCACACATGTATAACCAATATGATGGTATTGTGTTGATAAGCTTCAACTCTTTTTTTGGGGTGGGGGGTGTCAAAGGTCAAAGTGTTTATTTGTCATATATAGGAAACGTGTTTCCCTGTATGGTGAAATTCTTACATTGCCGTCCACATGAATGCCACAAAATACAAGTGAAATATAAAGTAGATGAGCAATAACGCAAATCTAAGGCACTTTAAAACAGCAAGTGAAGGAAGCAAATAAAAGTACAACAGGAACACAATATAATGCAGAGAGAATATTAAGTAGAAAGGCAACTCCTTTTCAAGGCCAGCTACATTGTCTGTGGTTTCATTTCTGATGACAACAGACCTCCTTTTAAAGTACTTTATTTTCCTCATCCTAGAAACTGTATAGGTAACCAAATGAATTGTAATACAATAAATACATAATAAGATTATGTATATATTGGCACTGACTCCTGACTTCTCTGCACAGAGTTGTGCAGACAAGTGGTCTGCAAAAGAAGAAGCCAACCTTGTCTGAGGAGGGGCTATTAATGGGATATCTGTGGCTGTTAAGAAGCAGAAACCAGGGTGTAACAGTGAGAAAACAAGTTATTCTAACAGACTTTAAGTGGAAATACAGCTGCTCTGAATATGATCATACCAGACTATGCATCAGATTGAGTAGACAAAGAAGCACAGAGGCAACTGTACAGAAACACTTTATGTATGTACAGAAACACATGACTCTGAAGTGACCAAAACATAAATCCAAGCACTGCAGCAGACATGGGTCATTTGAGGCTGAGAATATTATTCAATTCAGTAACAGGGAACATCATGAGTTTCAAATGCTGCATCACATTAAATACTTCTTGTTTTTACACATGTAATAACATGGTTTTGGTTTTTGGTTTTGAGCACTTAACCTGCAAGGCAGATGATTTTATTTCTTTGTTACATGATCCACTGAAGATGTGCAATTGCTGTTTGTCAGAGCCCTTTAGTGGCTTAGAGCTGCTACTAATAGGAAAGCAACCCCATGCAATACTTTTAAAATAAGGCTTTAAGTACTTTTCTGTCAAGTGTTTAAATAAACTTAAATGTAAGACTACTTAAGATCCTTTTACCACCACTTTTAATACCAGATTCATGAGCATTCCTATGCTTTGATATTCTTATCCACTGCTCTCATGTTACACATTCAGTTTAGGCCAAGCTAGGTAATGACTAACAACTGGCATTCTGGCAAGAAAAAAACAATAATACCCACAATTATTGATGTGCCTAACTGAAATACAGCCATTATGCGTTTTAAATGAAGGTGTTACCTTGTATGGTGTTTACCAACATTTACGGAGACGCTTTACCACCGCAGCCCAGTCAACAGCGCCCACTATTGGCTAACAAAAGATGCACTAACACTAACGCTACCTCCGTGTTTACACACACAAAAGATAGTGTAAGCAGTCAGTTTAACAATAACTATTTGCTCCACCTCCACAAATATATAAATCTTCAGCTGATTTTTCTTCTAGCTCGGACTTACCAGAGCCAACAGTAGAACCTGATAATAGAACCGAGCTGCATGTCCACGGTTTCACTGACGCCGCAAAGCACAGATGGCCGCTCTCTCGTAAAACACCAGCTGAAGATTTGAAGATGGTCCTCAGAACTGTGTTTGGGAACATACTGACAGCAAAGCTAACAAGGAAGACAAGAAAATAAACTCTCTAAAAATTATGAAAATGTGACAGGGAATCGCACTCGACCCCTACATGAAGATCGCCATTTTAACTAGACTAAACGAGCCGAGTGACGATGGGGGAGAGGTTTCTTAGGCTATACTAATGATTCCAGAATACATCAATGGAGCAAATGAGGGATACATTTTTGTTTCTCTCATGACAAACACTAGCTAATCAAGACTGGAAACCTTTTGCACTTTAAATTTATTTTAGCATTAATAATAGTTTGCTAAATAAAAAAATTCTGCAACTGTATTTGAGAATGATTGGCTTCAGGTTGTGAGGGAAAAGTGAGGTTGAGTGGGACAATTATTATAAAATTGAGTGTCCCATTTTACCAGCAGAAGTGTCTCAGAGTTAACCTTAACGAAAAAGCATGTCAGTATTCTGTTTAAGTTGATTAAAAAAAAACAATTTGTGTAGGCTACTTCTGTTTTAATCCGTTAGCCTCAGAGTACAACTCTTTTTGGTAGAGTAGGTAAACACTACAGCGTTGAATGATCGTAACGTGTAAACCTTTTTCTCTGTATTTGTAAGTTTTTTTATTCAAAGAAATATTATAAAGTGTATTTTTCAGACCATTCACACATAAACCACAACAATATGATCTAAACAATAACATTTTTTATTTCAGTTTAAACATTTTTCTATAGAGGTGACATATATACAAAGTGTGGTAAAGACCTAAACATCATAATCATTATAAATCAGAGTGATTTTAGTATTATATCGAGCATGCATTTATAGTTGTGTGCTATGCTGGATCAACTTATCACAAAAAATTAGGTCTACATTTTCATTTTGCAAAGCAATTATTCTTATAATCAACAAAGTGATTTTAGTCATTTGAAGTTTCATTCATGGCTAATGCTTGTAGAAAAGGAAAGTCATCCCAGAGAATGACTGAGTCTACCCGTTCTTCGGGTACACAATCATGGCATGGTCCAAAAAAGCACTGTTCCCTTGGCATCCCCTCAGTTGCCATATTCTGGTAACACTTTGGACTGAAGGATTCTTCAGTCTCCAGGAGTGGCTGTGTTGATTCCGAGCGCAGGTATACATGAGTATCTTTGCGTGGAGGGCTATTGCACGAATCTGAGAAAATTACAGTAGCATAGGGAACAGAGTCACTGTTTGAACCAGAATATTCAGGAATCAGCGGTGAACCACAAATGGACTCTCCCAAGTCACTGGTGTCCTCTGCATTGTTTAACCAAAGATCATCCTTGTCTTTCCTTAGGTTCATGGGTAGGTTCAAGAAGCTGAGGTGGGACAGGCATACTGGATTGGGCTCCTCCTTGTTCCAGGCAGGAAGAGTATCCTGCCAAAAAGAAAATAAATGAGAGATTCATGTCTTTAGTTAGTAAATAACAAAGTATTTTACATCACATACTGTGTATGACATTTCATGAATAAACAGCATGTTATTTAAAGCAGCATTAATTGCTTGTTTGGCCACTTGGTGGCAGTGTAGCAATTTGCTAATATTTCTAGTCACCTGAACATGATTAATATACTGTAAGTCCTATAGTCAGTCTCGTTTTAGCTCTGTTTTGTTTGTTTGTTGTTTGTGTTCTGCCCCAGTATGTTCACCAGCTAGTTACTATCTCTGTCTGTCTGCCATTTTGTCCTGGACAGGGAGTGTAAGGTGAATTAATTAGAGCTTTTCTGCTAAACAGCAGGCTGCTACAGTGACAGTGAACCAGGTAGGGGCCATAAAACCAAAACAATGAACTGAAAGATGCTAAAATGATGAAAATATTGATTATTACTGCTTTAACATTAAGGAGGATATTGCACAATTTTTGTGCACAGGTTAAGTGTTTCGTACCTGGGTGGGTTCTGATTTCCATCTCTTGATGCTGCTGTTAGCTGGATCTGGAACAATTGGCCAAAAATGCAGCTTTAGCCTGGAGATAGAAGAACAGAAAAATGTGCTGTGAATAGATTACATCACAGCCTTTAACCCTATAAAACCATTTGTATCATATTTGCTATGCAAGTTTTTGAGCGAACAAAAATCACCAAAAATGCCTTATGTATCAAATATGATAAAAAAAAAAAATTAACAAAATAATATGGCACATTTATTTCTATATGCCTGGACTGCCTGTCTATGCATAAATGGCAAATAAAAATGTTGAATCTTGAATTTTGAATTTTGAATTTTCTTTTGGATTTTGTTAAAAGGTTTAATAAATATCTCAGTTCCAAAAAATGTGAATGTCCTGGCTATTTTTTTGATGTGTCAGGCTTTACAGGGTTAAGTTTAGAGGTGAGTGAGGTCTCACTTTCTGTAGTTGGAGAAACAAGTCATGACTATAAAAATTGTCAGGAAAGACAGTCCCACACCAGACACAATTACAATCATCACAATGGCGGCTCCATCTGAAAAGAAAGAAATACATATTCTGAATGAAATCTCTCATGTGGAAATCTTTGCCATGTTTATAGAAACCCACTATCAAATTGTAATACCAACCAAAGGGCTCCATTTTAAAATGAATTGTTGACCCGTTCAGGCTTCCACCGAATGTGCTAACCATGATGAATGCTTCATAAAGGGACACAGGGTTGAGGTCTTTCAGAATTACTCTCCTCTCTTCCATGGCAGCATTCACAACTGAAAGGAAAGTCAGGCTTCAGATTGTATCAAATCCATATAAAGTGGTTTAGTATTGCATAGAAGTATTTCACCTACCATTAACCTGTCCGTTTTCACACCAGTAGAAGACTTTGTAGCCCTGGATAATCCCATTTCTTTGGTCTAATGGTATTTCATCCCAGGTAAGCTCAGTGTGTGACTGCCAGGCTTTTTTAATTCTTAACTTTGGAACCATGGATGGAGCTTTGAAAAAAATTAATACATTCATCCTGAGTAATTATTACAATTGTGCTGGGTTTAGGAGCTTAAAATTTAAATGTGGTTGTCACAGATTTTATTTTGAAACCTTAAAGTCAGCAAAAATAATTATTTATTTATAACCACAAGAGGGCATTATTCCATCAGGAATCAGCTGCTTCTGATATATACTGCATATATACTAATGTGGCAAACGCACAAGTTTTTTTTAAGTTGGATCAGTTCGACTCACACCTCTGCCTGCTCTCTGTGTGATCCCCCTGGTGTCTTTGGTGACTTACCCTTTTGTCTCAAGTAGGCATTAACAGTCAGAGGAAGTCCTATCCCATCCTTAAACCTAGGATACACAGAGATCCCATAGGGCTTGTAAGGCTCAAAGTTGCCTATTGATAGAGCAAAGAGGTTAGAGTGGATCAGTACCCATACACACCCAACAGTCTGTATGGGCAGGTCATACACAGGAGAAAGAGCATTTTGCATAAGAGCGATTGGTTGAATTCTTGTGGTAAAGAATGAGACCCAAATTAGGAAATACAAGTTGAGTATAACAGGACATGCATGGCCCTTAAAACCTGCCATAAAAATGATATAGCCTACCTGTTATTATGAGGCTGGACTGGTTACGGTCTGCAATTTCAAACTGGATGAGGGAGAGGTGTGTTTCTAACAGGGGTCTCCATTCAACCACATAATCAATGAGATCAGACATATCTATCTTTTCCCACTGGACCAGCAGGGACTGGTCATCATAAGGACTGGCTTTGATGTCTGATATCACCATACGAGCTATAGACATAAAAACATGTCATGCAAGTTATGGGGAAAATATATTAAACTGTATCACACTTGAGTCATTTTTTATGCCAGTTTAAACACATTTGAAAATATCAGTATTACCTTTAGCAAAGTAAATCCGAACTTCATCAGGGGAGGATTTCCCTGCTGCATTTATGGCACTCAAATATACTTTCTTTGCTTTCCTGGGTAGCTGGAAAGTACAGTAATTCCCTATTGTAGAGCAGATCTTTCCCCTTTCACCTTGTAATTTTTGCACTGAGACAATATATGACACATTTTGGCCATTGGCACGAAATTGTTTTGATGGCTACAAAAAAAAAAAGGAGAGAAGATATTTTAAAGGCAGACCTCACACACTCAGCTAATGCTATAACAGAAAACACATCAGTTTATGACAGCAAACTGTGTATGAAGTGTGTACCTTCCAAAACAAGTGCACGTTGAGTTGTTTGTGCATGTGATCCCCTGATACCTTCATCCAGGAGACTAGGCGTCCAGTGGGAGCTGAAAAGAAAGAGATGGCTGTCAGCTTCACAGCTTGTCAAAAGCCTGCCTTTCTCTTCTAGCACTTTAGAAAGTAAAACTTTTCTATATAAGACAGGTCTATGGATTTCACCAGAGTGTGCAGAAAAACTCAATACATCAATTTGGTCTGTGCTGTAAAGCAAAGCAATGGGAAATGTAGAACATGCCATTAGCATATATTGAAAAGACCAGGAAAGGGAAGAAAAGGCAATAGATTGGAAAATGTTAGAGTGACTGTTCGAGTGATTGTGTCACTGGGAATTGATCTCAGCCCTACCACTCTCCAAGGTGACTCCAGACTGGCTGCTGCTCCATTCGCTCCAGGGGCTCTGCTGGTATCTAACTCTAATCTGAGCAAAATACACAGTCCCGTGGAGGAGACGACACTGTTTCACAGGTGTGGTTGGTTTAACCCTGCTCAGCAGGATCTAGCATATGTCCCAGAGCACACACACCATAGAGTTATCACTTCAGGCATACACACAATGAATTACAGGTAGGTTATACTATTATATTGTATGCAATGTTAATCAACTAGGCTTTAAGTTTCTTTTGACACTGGAATGATGTGTACTCACTGGTTGTTCACTCCACTGACTACTGTCGGCAGTCTTAAGTCGGACTTCCAGGTTCAAGTGGACACTATGCATCCAGGCCTGGTCCTTCGATAAGCTCCAGCTCAGCTTCAGGCATCCGTGACTCTTAGGCACTGTTTCAACCTTCAGAATCTTTGGTGGGTCAAACTTAGCTGCAATAAAACAATCAATAAAGCATGTAACCCATGTAATTTAGATTTTCCCCCCTAGTTCTTTGAGTTCTAATCTGCTCAGAAGAATATTCACATTAGATTTTCCCCAGTCTGTGCTTCCCAGTACCATTACATTTGAATTGCAGGACCAAGCATCAGTTGCCAATCATAAAAGTCCCTGGGAATCCTCAAAAACTCTACTAACCACTTGGATGAAAAAATGTTATGTATGTGAGTTGATAAAGATTTTGCACTGAAATAAAGGTGGCTGGAAAGTTGTATAATGTGAAAACATAGGCATACAAAATGCTTTATTTATAGTTATATTTGTCTATAATGATGTTACATTAAATCATTTTAGATTTCCATTTAAAATATGATTATATTTTTCTCATAGGCTGAAAGAAAATGTAACATAATATTCTTATTAAATAGCAGATGATGGCCAGTAAATGACATTTAGAAGGAGGTTATTGTTTGGGCACAATAGAAACTATCAGTGACAACATTCAATAAAACTATATTTTCTACAATTCTCACCTGCACTAACAGGTTCCAATATGACAGGTACTGAGGAAGCTTCTCCAAGTTCATTCAGTGCCCTCACATAAATTTGCATTTCAGAAAACAAGACAAAGCCAGAACGAGGGATGGTGTAGTGGTGGACTCCTGTTGGCAGCTCGTAAGTATGGTTCTTGTTTGAATCCCTGAATTGAGGAAATCATAGTGTGGGAAATGTAGTTGTGAAACTTTGCAGACATATTTTGTAAATGACATTTTAGACATTCCTTAAACCAATATGATGCTTGTGTTCTGGTAACTGTTTCAGGTTATTTTTTAATATTACCATATCTTGGTGTGGAGGGTGTACTCTGTAGGCAGGTGGGTCTCTTGTTGCCCAGGGTTCCAGCTACAGGTCAGCGTGCTAGGAGTGGTAAGGTTGGTTTGACAGCTGAGGTTTTGTGGTGCTTCTGGTGGATCTATAGATAAAACCAAGGCAATCAAGTCTTTTTTAAGGAAGTTGTTAAGGAATGTGTTACTCATTTAATTTCTACACCCACATTTTCCCATTTGTGGATTTCATCCACTGGTTTTATGGGACTAGTGGTACATCAATATGTAGATTAAAAACTACACGTGAGCAGCTGGTCTATGCATATATCTGGGCAAAGAATGACAATTAAAGGTTTCTACTTAGTCTAAATTAAAAGGCGCAGCATTGTTTTGATATTATTTGTTTATCTGATATTTTTTTTATCTGTAAAACTCTAAAACATATATCTATCCATAGTTCTGAACATGCATCACCTCAATTAGATTGGTTAATGAAAAAGTTCTTAGTACCTTTAAAGTTAATTAAAATGTTCAATATTGAATTTTTTTTTTCAGTTGTGTTGAGTTCAACTTAACTAACAATTGCTCTTCCTCTTACTGCTTAAAAAATGTAAACATTTCCTTTTTTTGTTGCCTTTTTCACCCATTTCTGACAGATGTACTAGCAATATAGACAAGTTCATTTGATTATCTGTGAACAAACATGTAAAAAAAACTCTCTCACATCCAGCTGTGATCACCACTCCTCCTGCTACTTGAATCAGAGAGGTCTGGACACAGCAGGTGAGGGTCACCCTGGTGTGATTGACGTGTGGTATAACAACCTTGGAAATTTTGCCACTCTCACTGGCCACGAGGCTGCTGGGAATAAAATGATCACCAAGGCGCCACACTATATGAACAGATTGTCCGGTGATCAAAGGGCAGTTTTCTCTGATGACACAAGTGGCCATGACAGGTGACCCCAAAGGCACCACTGAGCTGGACGTCTGGACCTTTGCACATGGTTGTATGTCATCCTCTAACAATAAAAAATATCAAGAAAGAAAGTGAATAATAACAACTTTTATAATTGCTGGTCAAATATTTTGATTCAGATTTGCCATTGCATTCTGGAAGCCACACTCACCATTCCTTGCTCCACTCACAAATGCCAGCAGAATGAGAGTCACTGACACCCATGTGGATTTCATGATGATAAAACCTGTTAGGCAGCCAAAATGAAATGTATTGTTCTTAAATTACATACTTTCATGCCCTATCAAAATATTACTTGAATTGATGTTCATTTATGAGGGAGGAATTGAGAGCGATAACATTTGGTGCTTGAATAGACATCGTAAATGTGGTGTTTCAAGTGTCTGGTATGGCAGGCTGATCCGAGCAAGAAAGTGATCTCCACAGTGCATAATATTTCAATATATATAGACAGCTAGAGAAGGTATCTGCTGCTTCCCAAAACAACGAAAAACCCCCACAGTGCTGTCTGTGTAAGATATTCACAACAAACCTGTACACTGACACATGACACACTCATAAATAATATAGAAAAAAAAATCAACAACCATGACAGGTTGGATCTATGTTTATGTAACATGATTACACAGAGGATGTGACAGTTAAAGCTCTCTCAGCTGTTATGAATGAAATTTAAATCAGCTACAGACAGAATAAATAAATATGCTGTTCACGTATGCTGAATTTCTCCTTTTCCTCTCAGGCTAACAACTGCAATTACCAGTTGTTAAAAGGTAACCTGCCTTTCTGGGCATGCGCTCCATAGCTGATTGGTCATGTATAATGAGCAGAAGATGGGAGCTTGTAAGCTTAAGCAGATGGGATATGAAGTCAACAACCAGCTCCCTAAATTCAAAAATCATTTGTGACAATCATTTTATAAGCACAGGTGTGACGGAAGTTGAAATGAATGTTGAGGACAGTGTTTTTGAAATGCTCACCATTACACAAGAATGAACATTTAAAATTCACTGAACTCCAGTTGCTGGCTCACAAAGCATGACTGTGTCTCTCTCTGTATGGGAGGAAAGACAAACAGTTATAAACTGTGCTGAAAGAATTCAATTGATTGATTAGCTGACTGAGAAAAACTCATCAAAACAGAAGCATGTGAATTTAAAACCAACATCTCCTGTGATGAACCAATACACATGTGACATTTAGACATTTCACAATATATTTCACATAGTTTATTTTATATATGAAATCATATTTTGTTTTGTAAGATCAGTTGTTTCAATGATTCATAAAGCAAATAAATAAAATGAAGTAAAAGTTCCTGCTTCTCAAATGAGAGTATTTTATGTCCTATTGTTATTTTATTATTCATTATTATTATTTCATATTCACAGTGAGTCCTCAACAGGGAGGAAGGTTCTTATGTGTTATCTAACAGTGACAGATGACGCTTATTGATTTCTCAATCGATCAATGCACTTAAAACAGACACACATGCATGTGAACACATAAACCCACACACACGTATGAGCACAGAGCCAGTAAATGAGACCACAGCATTTGGAAACTTCCTGTGTTCTTGTCACACGCTGATGAGAAACCTAAAACAATATGTTGGCAACATCTACAGTATATCTTCATTGTCAACAAGCTCTTGAGTGTTCACTCCAGCTTATTCTTAAAAGGCAAAAGGAATAATTCGAAATGATTTGTTTGTAGATTTCCATTAATCCTACATCCAGATATTTATGGCGTTCTACCTTTGGGCAGAAATTTAGACAGTCTGGACCATCAAATTGCAAGCAACCTCATAAAATGAGAATATATTTACCTATCGCTCAAACTCAGTCAAATCGTTGCCCTCAGTCCACAATAACCCACATTTTGGCAAAATCTACATTTAGTGATATGAAAGAAATGGAACTTCTCCCCTTTTCTTATCAGCTGTGTGCATAAAGGCCTCCATTCTCCCTTGCTTTCCATTTTACAGTTTCTGCTTACTAGTAATAGGTAATTGCCTGTGGCTTTGATAAGAGGCAATCGAGAGAAAGAAGAGAAATAAGAAAGGAAGAGATATGCATTTAAATTTGAGGTGAATCTGGTCAATAACCAAAATTATTACAATAAGAACCGTATGTATAATTTAAGAATGGCTATTTTCACTGTATTGGCCCATAATGTCCTGAATATATTGATGCAAATACGTTATCTGAATTCATTTTTATCTCACCGAGTCATCCCACTACGTGTAGAGAAATGTTTTGCTCTAGCCACTGTATGTTTCCTTTCCTGTTGGGGGTTACGAAACACCCACGTTCAGGATTTGGCAATATTCTTGACACAGAGTGTGATGACATACTCGTTCTACTTTTTGGTCATATTTTCTCACACTACATGCTGTGATTTAAAACAGGATTTTAAAAAGTTTAAAGTTAAATGTTTGGTATTTAGATACTTATGAATCATAGAACAATTCTTTCAAGGGATCAGAGATAGTGACCATTTGTGTCAGCAGATGTAAAACTCCCAAAATCTAAAAAGGAGGAAAGCTGTTGCTTTCACATCCTCTTTTTTTATGGATGGCCAGAAGATAAACATGCTAATGTGACTTCCGTACTGACACTGTCACTACTTGTAACAATGTCACAATGACAAAACAGTTAACAAAACTCACAAAAGGATTGTATGCTTAACAAATATATCTACAAATATGTTTTCTATATATAAAAGTCTAACCAAAAGTGCTCTTGTAGAAGGTTCTAATAAGTATTGACACTTTCTGCACATTAAACTTTAAATATTTTTATTTTTAAAGGATTATCTTATCTTAGAATTCCTCTTTAAATATTAAATATCCTCTACTGCTGTAGTATTTTATGTTTGTTAAAACCAGCATGGCACATGTACAATAGACTTGAAAAAAATCAGATTAAGCAAGTGTTTTTAAATCAAATTAAGTGGATCTGTCCTTAAGTGGATCAGGACGCAACTCTCCAGTCTGATACTGTGTCGTCCAGAAACTTTGTAAAGTTTCCCTTTTCAATCTGGCACAAGTATCAAAATGAAAGGAACAGCAAATCACTTGATGTGAAGATAAAGAAAAGCCATCAGAGAGGCTTGCCACTCACCACACAGCAGCTGCAGCAGACCCAGAACGATGAGTGGCTCTCATCAGCTCTGATAGCACCAGATGAAACAGTGTGGCTCAAAGCAGCTCAGATTGGAGGACATATGTGTGTGTTAGCCAACCAGCAGCAGCAGGAGTAGTAGCAGCAATATGCTTGTTCTGAATTTGTGAAACTTCACTAGCTTTCAGGAAGAAACACATGACTGATGGGGCCCAGTTGTGGGAAGGAAAACTGAAGGGTTTAAATTCATGGCTGAAAGAAAAGAGTTGAATAATTCAACTAAAAATTCATCTTTGACAAGTGATATTGAATGTTTATTGTCACAATATACAGTGGGTACGGAAAGTATTCAGACCCCCTTAAATGTTTCACTTTTTGTTTTATTGCAGCCATATGCTAAAATCATTTAAGTTCATTTTTTTCCTCATTAATGTACACACAGCACCCCATATTGACAGAAAAACACAGAATTTTTGACATGTTTGCAGATTTATTAAAAAAGAAAAACTGAAATATCACATGGTCATAAGTATTCAGACCCTTTGCTCAGTATTTAGTAGAAGCACCCTTTGGAGCTAATACAGCCATGAGTCTTTTTGGGAATGATGCAACAAGTTTTTCACACCTGCATTTGGGGATCCTCTGCCATTCCTCCTTGCAGATCCTCTCCAGTTCTGTCAGGTTGGATGGTAAACGTTGGTGGACAGCCATTTTCAGGTCTCTCCAGAGATGCTCAATGGGGTTTAAGTCAGGGCTCTGGCTGGGCCATTCAAGAACAGTCACGAAGTTGTTGTGAAGC